TATATATGTATACTATATAATGTATCCTCTGTTTCTGTGTCTTTCTGGGTAGAGTACAGTCGTTTTGAAGCGAAGATCCATGACCTGAGGGAACAAATGATGACCAGCAGTGTCAGCTCCAGCTCCACGTCTCTCCGCCCCACACAGAAGCGCACACTTTACATCAGGTACCACAAAACACACACACAGCAGACAAAAAGAGCTGATTGTCCAGCGCCCTTTTTTTTTTGGTGAAACGGGTATTATTGAAAGGTTTTATCTCTTCCTGGTTTTGTGAGGTTATGACATATAAAATCAGCTACACTGTGTGTCACACAAACACACCCGCTCGTCTTCTTCCTCTGTCTGTGTGTGTTCATCTTGTCCTTGCCTGTCCTGGTTACTCAGTCCTCTCTGATTCATGATGCTCAGGCCCCTAACTGCATCTGCAGAGCAGTTTCAGACTTAAAGCAACCGCACTTTAGATGTTCTTCTCCCTTTGAAAGTTTCACACTGTTTGAAAGATTCGAAGTGGGTCACTGGAGTTCACAGATGTCACTTCAGAGTTCTGGGAATATCAGTCAAGTTGAAAACAGACGCCACTGAGGCTTTAGGGAAGCAGCTAAACATTTTTTAAAAAAGTTCTTTAAGTTAAAAGTTGCCTGTGAGAAAACTAATAGATATTTATTTTTGCTTAAAGATGCATTTGTGACGGCCGGTTGTAAAAACTAAGAACATAAAAGAGAAGGCACTTTTAATCTTATTGTAATTACACAAACTGTATAACAACTGGATTACAAAGAGACAAATTACATTCAGTAGAAACAAAGACAAATCTTTTAGTGTGCATCACTTTAATGGTTACAGAAAAATCTCTACACTTAGCTGCCTCCTGGGAATAAGACCCACAGGGAATAATAAAACTATGGATCTGCGCTCAGAACAATGATTAATGGAACTTTAGGCTCAACCACAGTTTTCAGGGTCTCCTTTCACACAATATCTTTAGCCATAAAGGATTATATTGAAAATGTAAAACAGCTTGAGAAGCAATCGATGCACGAGAAAGCTTCACCATCCAGGTAATCAGTTTAAAAAAACATGCCTGTCAATAGTGACGAGCTCTACTTCTGCTGCAATTTCTCCAGAGAGTCAGAAACCATCGAACCTCCCGAGGCATTTGGTGACAGGGATCTTATTAAAAAATATTGCAGCAGAACAGTTGATGGAAACCGGGGCTCCAAAAGCACAAGAAGTCCATTAATATTCATTATCAAGTTTTCAAAAGATATGAAAAAATTAAATAAATATATTGGAGGGAATTTTTTTCCTGATGTATTCTGTTTTTAAATGAAACAGGAAATATTAAAGGCACAGTGTGTAGGGTTTTGTCAATTCTTTTAGCCGAAATTGAGATAATCACTAATGACAATAATAAAAAAAACATGTCTAATCATTGCAGACAAAGACCTTGTTTT